CCCAGAGCTCGCTCCAGTGTCTGCTCCAGCCCCAGAGCTCGCTCCAGTGTCGGCTCGTGCCACAGAGCTCGCTCGAGTGTCGGCTCGTGCCCCAGAGCCGTAGGAGTGGGGGCTGGGACCGCGGCCTCGGAGGCTGCTCCGCCATGGCCTTCTGAACTGTCTGCTCCGCCATGGCCTCCTAGTCTGCCTGTTCCGCCGTGGCCTCCTAGTCTGCCTGCTCCGCCGTGGCCTCCTAGTCTGGCGCCCCACCTCCAGAGCGCCCACCCCCCCCCTCCTTCGTTGGATGTTGTATGGCGCGGGACGCGCCTTCCGGGAGGAGGGAGTTATGTCAGACTTTGTTCCTTGTTTTGTGTGTGTTTTGCTCCCCATGTGCCTTCCTTGCCCTTATTTGGTTATCTTCCTGTTCCTGCTCCCTGATTGTTTCTCATTTGATTCCAGGTGTGTCTCGTCTTCCTCTGATTAAGTTGTGTATTTAAAGTGTTTCCTGTTTTGATTCCTTGTCCAGTATTGTTCGTCCAAGTGCTACGTGTGTTTTCCGTGTTCTATTCTAATATATTAAAAAATCATCTTTACATTGCTGGTCATTGCACAAAGCAACACTCTCTACATTTAAAAAAATAAAAATAAAAATTAGAAGAGTTCTAAACTAATGCGCTGTCTTCACTGTATCTCACGCACACACACGCTCAGTCACTCACACAGATCACTCTGCGCGTGCACTCAGACATTCAGGAACAAACTTTTTAGCGCTGCCCCGCAATTTTATCAACTAAATAGCTTAATCGCTCAAGAGCTACATTATCTTTCTCAACAAGGAGCTGGTAACATCATTGTATCTAAAGGAATTAAAGCCACAGCTTCACTGTATGATTACGTCTGTTTATATCAGGCAACCCAGTTGTGTTCCCCTCTGCGGCCAGATTAAACCTTGTTGTAGCCTATATATTATGCTCTATTCATAATTTTTTAGAAACCTCGCACTTTTCTACACCATTTTAAACGTTGTTCTTGTATGCAAATTAAGCGCGGTCCACTGCTGCACACGTGCCACAATATCGATACAGGGCCAGCTGTATCGATACTCGTATCGTCAAATCTCTGTGACGATACATCGTCGTATCGATGTATCGAACACAGCACTAGTAAAAATATTGCCCTTGATGTCCCCATTTTTAAGCTCCCTTATTTTAATGAATCAAGATCCTATATTTAAATTTCCAAAGACTACAGTCTGTGAATGCACTGTGATGCAGGCAAGCGCACTCCATGGAGGGGCATTCTTCTCTTCGGGCCCCCCGGCACAGGAAAGTCCTATCTGGCCAAAGCTGTGGCCACCGAGGCCAATAACTCCACCTTCTTCTCCGTGTCTTCTTCGGACCTCATGTCTAAGTGGCTCGGCGAGAGTGAAAAGTAAGTTTCAGTCTTTGCTCTCTTTGCTGACTGTCTGCATGAGGTGCAGGCCTCACTGAATGATTTATTTTGATTCATGTTACAGACTGGTGAAGAATCTGTTCGATCTGGCTCGCCAGCACAAACCCTCCATCATCTTCATAGACGAGGTGGATTCTCTCTGTGGATCCAGAAATGAGAATGAGAGCGAAGCCGCTCGGAGGATCAAGACGGAGTTCCTGGTGCAGATGCAGGGTGAGAAACACTCTCTGGCAGTTTGTGAGCTGTGAAAAACCGAATCCTGCTGAATAAATGACGCTTCATTTACTTTAGGAGACACGGTCAAGCAGCTCTGTTGACATGTTGCTTAGCTGTTGTCCTTTCATACATGAGCCTTAACGTGACTTATGTCTGGATCTTTTTGTTAATAATATTTATTTAAAATTTATGTTTATATTAATTTGTAATATTCAAAATTTTAAAATAACATTAAAATTCAGTTTGAAGGTAAAAATGGCAAGATTAGGGTTGTCTAATGGCAAAACCCCAAGAAAACTTGATATTAAAGGGGTCATATGATTCAATTTTTCCTTTCTCTTTGGAGTGTTACAAGCTCTTGGTGGATCGTATGTGGAAAATAATGTGTTTTTTGAACCTTAAACTGCATAAACACATTTCATTACACCAAATACACAAAATAATTTAGCAACATCATAATGACCCCTTTAATATTCACCTACACAGTATTGATGAGATTTGTCAAAAATACTGGTAACACTGTACAGTAAGGTTTTATTTGTTATACATTAGTTAACATGAACTAACAATGAAAAATACTATCTTGAAAAATATGTTTGAAAATGTAATAATTTTATACACGTGTAAGGGAAATATTTTTTTTTACTTAAAGTGAAGTGACGTGTGGCCAAGTATGGTGACCCATACTCAGAATTTGTGCTCTGCATTTAACCCATCCAAGTGCACACACACACACCGTGAACACACACACACACACACACAGTAGTGAACACACACACACAGTGAACACACGCACAGTAGTGAACACACACACACACAGTAGTGAACACACACACAGTGAACACACACACACACACAGTAGTGAACACACACACACACACCGTGAACACACACCCGGAGCAGTGGGCAGCCACATACAGAATGATGCAGGATTTTGTGAACACACACACAGTAGTGAACACACACACAGTGAACACACACAGTAGTGAACACACACAGTGAACACACACACACCGTGAACACACACCCGGAGCAGTGGGCAGCCACATACAGAATGATGCAGGATTTTCTCACAAACTCCTCTATGTCTTGGGATTGTCTAATGGTTTGCGGGCGTCTGTCTTTGCCAGGTGTTGGTAATAATAGTGATGGGATATTAGTTCTCGGTGCTACTAACATTCCCTGGGTCCTTGATGCTGCTATTCGCAGAAGGTCAGTGTGAAAAAAAAAAGTAGAAAAGTGATAATTTTATTAACTGAAGTCTTCAATCTGCGAATTGTTGAAAACTCCCGGTGGTCGGTGCAGGTTTGAGAAGCGCATCTACATCCCGCTCCCCGAGGAACCGGCGAGAGCGGCCATGTTCCGCTTACATCTGGGTAACACACCTCACAATCTGACCGAGGCAGACCTGCGTCAACTGGCCCACAAAACAGACGGATACTCTGGAGCTGATATCAGCATCATAGTACGAGACGCTCTCATGCAGCCTGTCAGGAAAGTGCAGTCCGCTACGCACTTCAAAAAGGTAATGACAGCTATCTGTGGTTTCAATACGTTGTTTTGCAAATCTGGACAGCAGCAGTGAACTGTCTGATTGGATAGACAGAAACAAAGTTGCAAGTTAAATGAGTCAAATTAAATTTTTAAAATGTAAGTTTTTCTTTAAATCTTTCTAGTTCTAGAACACTGATTGTTTTTGTATGTTGCTTTCTCTGCTCATCAGGTGCGAGGCCCGTCTCGCAGTAACAGCTCCGTCATGGTGGATGACCTCCTGATGCCGTGTTCCCCCGGTGACCCTGATGCCATAGAAATGACCTGGATGGATGTACCTGGTGACAAACTGCTGGAGCCCATAGTGTGCATGGTGAGATCCTGAGATCAGTTACTTCCTTTCACATTTAGCATGTGTTCACTATCAGTTTGACTATCACAATAAAGTCTGGTCAGCTCGATGGACTGCATAATCTGCTAGTCAGTAAGTACTAGTTATTTCAGATATAAAAACAATCAAAATAGGTACGTTTTTTTTTGTTAGGTTTCTCAGCCTATTGATAAAAACAGCCTGACAATAGGCATCAGAGAGTCAGTGAATGGACTGCTTGTTTACTGCATGATGCCAAGATGACATCATCTATATATACACTATAATAAAATAACTGTTTTCTATTTTTGATATATTTTAAAATGTAGTTTATTTCTTTGATGGCAAAGCTGAATTTTCAGCATCATATATATACAGTATACACACACACACACACACACATTACTGTGCAAAAGTCTTAGACCATTAGTATTTTCACCAAAAAAAAAAAAAAAAGGTTTTAAGCCAGTTATTTTTATCTTTTGCTGTAGTGTGTCAGTAGGAAATATTTACATTTAATATTTACATTACAGTTTACATTTCCAAACATTAATTTTGCCATTAATTGGAGAAATTAATTTAATAGAAATTAATTGGAGGTCTCTGCAGAGTAAAAGTGGGCGTTTCTGACATTGTGGGTTTTTTCAAACCATCACTATGACGCAAGCCAATCAGGTAACATGGTGGAAAATGCCCTGATCTGGAAACTCCCATTACTGTCCTGCAGAGACCTACACTTAATTAATTGTAATAATCCAGTGAGATTTTTGTCTGACAACAGCCAGTGCTCCACACAGAGATCTGATCTCACCATCATCCAGTCCGTCTGAGATTACATGAAAAAACTTCAAGAAACCTTCCTGCAAAGCCGCCTGAAAAACTATACCTAGGACAAAAGCTGTTTTAAACGCAAAGGGTGGTCCGAATCTATTTATGACATTATTTTTGAAAGCATCCTCACTTTACAGCATTTTTACATAAGTGCCTAAAATTTTTCACAGTGCTGTAGCTTTGCAGGAAGGTTTCTTGAAGCATCTTGGATTGAGATTTGCTTCATGATACAGTGTCACAATGCAAAAAATAGGCTTGATGTTCTTTAATCATATTTTGGGTATTTGGGTTAAGAAAATCAAGTCTGTTTTACGACTTTTCTGATTTTTTTGCAGTGATACAATGTTTTCAGTGTATCTTCCTTTGCCTGTGGGCTGAAATATGACCTGGCCATGTGTTTGACACGCTCACCCATCAACATTTCACTTATTTAAAAACCGATCAAGCAGATGTGTTTACAGACCATTAGCTGTCATTCATTCTGAAGAATAACATGTTGACCTGATCTGATAAAAAATAACTTTTAAAAGAATTTGTGCATTGTTTGTTCAGCTGTATTTATTTGGCCTATCCAGTCTGCTTAAAATGGATAAACTTCTGAAAATAGTTCTGTAACATTAACAATTGAATCGAAGGATAATATTCTTGCTGTGAACATGCTGTGTTTCCAGAAAAAAAGTTGCCTTTTCATTTGAGAAGGGGAACATACAGTGTTTCTTTACAATGGAAAATGCTGTGAAGAAAATGTACAAGAATTAAACATGATGTACCTATCCAGGTATTAATCTTGTGTCAACCAATTCAAATATCTCACGAAATCAGCTCAATATCTTGTGGAGTGATTTCTTTTTTTTTAAAGAAAGCATTGTTTTGAGATTCAAAAATCAATGAGGGATCTAAAAGCAATCATCAGGCATTCCCTCACTTTCTGCTGAGTAAAATGAGGAAAACTCATTACTCGTTTCTCTTTATCTAAAAAAAAAAAAAAAATAGAGGATGACTATATTTAAAGTACCCAATTAATTTGAGAATAAAGCTGTCCAGATAGGCGCCGGCCTCATCAAAATACTTTTCAAATAATACTTTTTCAAGCTCATTCTAGGCCATTTGTTTGTCCCTCTTAAAGGGGTCATATGATTCTTTAGGGTCTTAATGAAAAGTCTGTAACATAGTTTGGTTAAAATTTCCCAATGGTAGTGTAAAAACACCTTTTTTTACCCTGTCAAAAACAGTTTTGTAGCATTTTTTTAGCATTTAGCGTTTTGTAGCATTTTCCTTTAAATGTTAATGAGCTCTGCTGACCCCGTCCCTCTCTTCTGAGCCGCTCTAAGAGGGACTGTTTACTTTAGCCGCATTCGTCGTGAAACTTGCTAATTAGCACATTATTAGGAAAGGCGATTTGCAAAGATTCAGTACAAAACATTATACTCACTTATTCTGTAGATGAGGCTGGATCATGAGTAATTCGCGCGAACATAGACACGTTTATGTAGATCGGGGACGCATGTCAGGAGTAAATGAGGACTGCTATGTTCATTATTACATCCAACAACAGAAGACCTCAATCGCTTAGGAGTCATTCTTGTCTACATCTGCTCCGGCGGTGAAACAATGGCGGACTGATGACAGCTCACTCAGGGCGGAGCTAAGGTAAGACACCAGTCCAGTCTGTGCTGAAACGCTACTGTCAATCAAACTATCGTGGGAGGGGCCTGTCTGTGTGACGTCACACAGACAGGCATCTGAGATCGGCTCGATTTGAGAAAGGGGAAAACATTTAACCAGATTAAAAAAATAACACTTGGTGGATTTTTTAAATCATTTTAGGGTGGTTGTGTACACACACTGCCAACACACATTTCAGTTCAAACAACTTGTAAAAGTGCATGTAGCATCCTATGACCCCTTTAACATCAGGAAAATCTGAGGATCATAACATTTCACCTCTGGGGTGCTATAACTGAAGGAGCGGAAATTCTGATTGCCTTCTCAGCAGAACAAATAAACAAAAAACAACTGCCAACAGCCCATTAATAATTCAAGTAATTTTGATGATCTGATAAATCCACTACAGATACAGTCTTGCAAAGGAACTTCTGATTCACAGATCAACAAAACATACTAAACAGATCAACCCCACAATTGACACAGCAAAGGTGACATTTTTATATAAATGAATCACGTGCTATTGCATTCAGAACAGAAAGCTTTTTTTAATCTTTGTACAAAAACAGCAGCATCATTCAAGTACAACTCGCCTAAGTAGGATTTCTTTGTATTATTTACAATGTATCTCATGTCTGTAAGTCTGAACCTTAATGTAATTTGCTCAATATCTTTCAAAAGAAAAGAACAGAAATTTCCATTTGGAAAGTAAAACACGTCTGTGATGCCATCGGTGACGAGCGTCACTCATCAGGCAGCAGAACATCAGACTTTGCTTCTTTTGGACTGGTTTTCCATCTCAGAGCCTCCTCGTTTGTTTCTGTGGTGAGGAAACGTGGGCATCAGCTCTGGTTCACACGCTGCAGGGTGAAACACGAGAAAAAGTCAGCAAATCTGCCTAAAATATAGAGATCTCAATGTAGAATTAAGAAATGAATATAAGCCTGTGCTTACGCAAGGGCTTTTCCTTGAAGTAGGAACTTTCTAAACAATCTTTAGCTGTGGCTCTGTAAGATACATAGCATGTATTCATTAAATAGCATTATAACACTGCACCAGTACATGATGTATTTTACAAAGATATTAATATTTATGAATTTGTACCATAAAAGAATATTTCATCTACGGTTTAATTAGATTCAAACTATTTAATGTAACTCTTAACATGAACAAATAAAAAACAAATAAATAATAAGGCATGCTAAAATAGTTTCCCCACTATTTTTCTACATGCACTTTGTTTTACCGGCGCTGTGGGTTGTACATGAACAGCAGGTTAAGCAGTCTCAAACCAGCTTCTGATAACCAGGTGAACTTGTTCTTTAGGTTGTTGTAGGGCTGCTTCCTCAGACTGTACTGCCCAACCAACGGCAGGCGCGAGAAGCCCTACAATTCACAAGAAACTCCTTGAGTGGTTAACCTGTAGTAGTATCACCATTCATCATTCTCTTACATCTAAACACAGGATACAAGAAAACACATTTCACGTAAGCGTCTCATACTGAAGCTGAACTCAGTACCGGCCAGATGCTCTCATTAGGTGTTCCCAACAGCTGTACGATCAAATCCACCTGCTGGATCTCTGAGGCTCCAGGCAGAAGAGGTTTATGGGCAAGAAGCTCAGCAAAGATGCAGCCGACGGCCCTGCAACAGGAGAACATGAACATCTGCTCGTGAAGAACACGCAACACACCGCTGGGCAAGACTACAAGAGCTCCTACAGATGCTTTTGTGATATCAATGGCACACTGAACTGATGCGTAACAACAGACAGATGACATGACAGAGGTTCTGCAACTTAAAGCATCAACTATTTTTGCAGTGCAACCTATGCTAACTTTAGTGTCTCACTCTCTAGAAAAGTGATGATAATGTTATTTTTCGTTTTGATAGAAAGGCCTCTCTCTCGCTTTCACACACAGGCCCTGTTCTCGGTGTGATCTGATCACAAGTGGCCAGACAAGACTGTTTACAAGTGTAACATGACTCAGATGTGTCTCCTGTGACTATATAATCAAAATTCAAGGGGATTTGTGTTGATAAAGCATAAAAAATTAAGTGGTTTCTGCCAAATATATATAAATCTGAACAAATCTTAAATGCAGTTTTAAGCATTATTCCCACTTGCATTCTGACATCTCCAAACTGATGCAGAATGTTTTGGATCCCATCAACACCTGTATTTAGTGCTGCTGACCACTTGCGATCAGATCACCTCAGACAGACCTTCATACAACATGTCAACAGAGTCACACACTGAACCTGCATATGTAACAGTATATAGCACAGAAATACATATTCACATCATGAACAAAACAAACTGCCTAAGAACTACCCTCTGCGAAAAATCACTCAATCACATGCTTTAAAGCAAGATGACCCATCTGATTATACAAATTTCATTAGCTTTATTACAGTGATATAGTGATAGTGTGATACAAGTATATGCATAACTATAGTATAGTATATGGAGGTGCACTGTTTTAATAACAGAATGCATAAATCCTGCACACTCTTTC